CTCCTCCTCACCCCCTCCTCCCCTACCCCCTCCCAACTAGATAAATATCCAGTCAGTATATCACTTCATCTCTATAGTAATAGTAAACAAGTTGTGTTTTTGGTAATCTAATCTAATGAAATGCATGAAAGCACAGTAAAGTTGGCGATTGGAAAGGTTTAATTTTGACAGATGAAAGGGATATAGTTTGACAGTGTTACCCTGTGAATGTTTTGGGGCATTAGACAAGAGTCAGCCTGTTGACATGTAAACAAAGCATGTGATTCATGTGGATAATTTTGATTATTTATAAAGAGATTGTGTAAATTTTCCCCCAGATCTGGATGGTACGTACTAGCTGCATGGTTTGTCGTTGGTGTTATGTGATATTTACTACAAACACTGTAATTAATGCTTATTAAGTCTAATCAAGCAGAATAAACCAGATGTTTGTGAAAATGGCATTTACACTAGAAACATTAACACAAGATTTGTATCAATTTGCTTCATTTTAGAAATTTATAATTTGTCCAAGACCAGTTCTGTTTCAAATTGTTCAAAATTTAAGAAACAGAACAATAGGTAAATACAGAACTGGATTGAGATGCAATTCAAAGAGAAGATAGGTTCCCATTGATTTTCAGTATTTATAAAGAGTTATTGTCATGATTGTCTTGTGTTATGCATTAGAGGTGGCTATCACATGACAAGTATACTTTCACTTTTACATGCATCAACATCCCATTGTGATGGACTTTCAGCTTATCAATGAGATACACACATCAATGGTTTATATGCTAGTCAGTGTGTCCTATATAGATATTTAAGTAAGAAGATCTACATATTAGAGTATATGGAATCCTTCACAACGTGACAATTTTAAAGGATTTCTGAAGGTCTTGGTGTTGCTAGACTGCATGTACATTTTATGGCACTACATGCAAGTTTTCTGAAACAAAGTAGTCCAAATGCTAACCCCTGTCAATACCCCACTAACAGTCTGTCAGGATAACTCTGCATGGTGTTGCTTATGGTGTTTGTCAACTAACGATTATACATCAGCTTCATTAACAAGTGGTGAAGGTTTAAGATAGAAGTTAAACATCTAGCTTTGTCTTCTTCCTAAAACTCTTTCGAAAACTTATGTATGCATGTATATTTCTGAAATTGCAAACAAAGAATTATATTTTTTAATTTTGAATTGTAGTATCCCCTGATTAAGACCGATGTTTTCCTGGTTAAATTCCCTTACTGTAATTGGTGTTTAAGTTGGTGAATTTCCTTTGTCTTTTCTCGAAGTGTCTCCCTTGTATTATGTACATTTGTACTGTTATATAAATAACCTGTTATCCATGTGTTTGTATTTATTATGAGTTATTTCCCCTTAATCCTGTTTATCCATGGCTGTTAGTACTTTATTCGATGGCACAAGTCCTTGACCATGTACGTTACAAACCTTGGTATAATTTAATGCTACAGTACTTAGAGAAAAGACGATTAGATACAATCATTAACTTATTAATTCTAGGTCATTGTGACTGTCAGAATTAGTAACAGTTAACCTTTCACCACTGTAGCTGATAATGGACTCATTCAGATCAAAGCATGGAAGAGTTTACTAAAATAACATAGGGGTGAAAGGTCTAGTGTCCTTATATATAATCTGATGAAATTGTATTTTAAAGGGAGAAAACTCTAACAGAAAACAACCACAAAGACCTGCAGTATCTAATAGCTATGGTGGACATGTTGGCGACGTGTGCCGAGGTACGTATATCCTAGTATCTGATAGCTATGGTGGACATGTTGGCTACGTGTGCCGAGGTACGTATGTCCCAGTATCTGATAGCTATGGTGGACATGTTGGCTACGTGTGCGGAGGTATGTATGTCCTATTATCTGATAGCTATGGTGGACATGTTGGCTACGTGTGCCGGTACGTATGTCCTAGTATCTGAGAGCGATGGTGGACATGTTGGCTACGTGAGCCGAGGTACGTATGTCCTAGTATCAGATAGCTATGGTGGACATGTTGGCGACGTGGGCGGAGGTACGTATGTCCTAGTATCTGCTAGCTATGGAGGACATGTTGGCTACGTGTGCGGAGTTATGTATGTCCTATTATCTGATAGCTATGGTTGACATGTTGGCTACGTGTGCCGAGATCCTAGTATCTGATAGCTATGGTGGATATGTTGGCTACGTGTGCGGAGGTACGTATGTCCTAGTATCTGATAGTTATGGTGTACATGTTGGCTATGTGTGCCGAGGGACGTATGTCCTAGTATCTGATAGTAATGGCGGACATGTTGGTTATGTGTGCCGAGGTACGTATATTATAGTCTCTGATCGTTATGGCGGCCATGTTGGCTATGTGTGCCGAGGGACGTATGTCCTAGTATCTGATATCTATGGTGGACATGTTGGCTACGAGTGCTGAGGTACGTATGTCCTTTGTCACATGCCGAGGTACGTATGTCCTAGTATCTGAGAGCGATGGTGGACATGTTGGCTACGTGAGCCGAGGTACGTATGTCCTAGTATCAGATAGCTATGGTGGACATGTTGGCGACGTGGGCGGAGGTACGTATGTCCTAGTATCTGATATCTATGGTGGACATGTTGGCTACGTGGGCTGAGGTACGTATGTCCTTTGTCACAGATCAACACAGCACTCTGTATGGGTAGTGTTTTTACAGAAACTTTGTCATTTATGGGTACGTATGTCCTAGTATCTGAGAGCGATGGTGGACATGTTGGCTACGTGTGCCGGTACGTATGTCCTAGTATCTGATAGCGATGGTGGACATGTTGGCTACGTGGGCCGAGGTACCTACATCCTAGTATCTGATAGCTATGGCGGAAATGTTGGCTACGTGTGCCGAGGTACGGATGTCCTAGTATCTGATAGCTATTGTGGACATGTTGGCTACGTGTGCCGAGGCACGTATATCCTAGTATCTGATAGTTATGGTGGACATGTTGGCTACGTGTACGGAGGTACGTATGTCCTAGTATCTGCTAGCTATGGTGGACATGTTGGCTGCGTGTGCGGAGGTATGTATGTCCTAGTATCTGATAGCTATCGTGGACATGTTGGCTACGTGTGCGGAGGGATGTATGTCCTATTATCTGATAGCTATGGTTGACATGTTGGCTACGTGTGCCGAGGCACGTATATCCTAGTATCTGATAGCTATGGGGGACATGCTGGCTACGTGTGCCGAGGTACGGATGTCCTAGTATCTGATAGCTATGGGGGACATGCTGGCTACGTGTGCCGAGGTACGTCTGTCCCAGTATCTGATAGCTATGGTGGACCTGTTGGCTACGTGTGCCGAGGTACATATGTCCTAGTATCTGATAGTTATGGTGGCCATGTTGGCTATGTGTGCCGAGGGACGTATGTCCTAGTATCTGATATCTATGGTGGACATGTTGGCTATGTTTGCCGAGGTACGTATATCCTAGTATCTTATAGCTATTGTGGACATGTTGGCTACGTGTGCGGAGTTATGTATGTCCTATTATCTGATAGCTATGGTTGACATGTTGGCTACGTGTGCCGAGATCCTAGTATCTGATAGCTATGGAGGACATGTTGGCTACGTGTGCGGAGGAATGTATGTCCTATTATCTGATAGCTATGGTGGACAAGTTGGCTACGTGTGCCGAGGTACCTATGTCCTAGTATCTGATAGCTATGGCGGAAATGTTGGCTACGTGTGCCGAGGTGCGTATATCCTAGTATCTGATAGCTATTGTGGACATGTTGGCTATGTGTGACGAGGTACGTATGTCCTAGTATCAGATAGCTATGGTGGACATGTTGGCGACGTGGGCGGAGGTACGTATGTCCTAGTATCTGAGAGCGATGGTGGACATGTTGGCTACGTGTCCCGAGGTACGTATGTCCTAGTATCAGATAGCTATGGTGGACATGTTGGCCCCGTGTGTCGAGGTACGTATGTCCTAGTATCTGCTAGCTATGGAGGACATGTTGGCTACGTGGGCCGAGGTACGTATGTCCTAGTATCTGCTAGCTATGGAGGACATGTTGGCTACGTGTGCGGAGGAATGTATGTCCTATTATCTGATAGCTATGGTTGACATGTTGGCTACGTGTGCCGAGATACGTATATCCTAGTATCTGATATCTATGGTGGACATGTTGGCTACGAGTGCCGAGTTACGTATATCCTAGTATCGGATAGCTATGGTGGACATGTTGGCGACGTGGGCGGAGGTACGTATGTCCTAGTATCTGCTAGCTATGGTGGCCATGTTGGCTATGTGTGCCGAGGTACGTATGACGTAGTATCTGATAGCTATGGTGGACATCTTGTCTACGTGTGCCGAGGTACGTATTTCCTAGTATCTGATAGCTATGGTGGACATTCTGGCTACGTGTGCCGAGGTACGTATATCCGAGTATCTGATAGCTATGGTGGACGTATTGGGTACGTGTGCCCAGGCACGTATGTCCTAGTATCTGATAGCTATGGTGGACATGTTGGCTACGTGTGCTGAGGTACGTATGTCCTTTGTCACAGATCAACACAGCACTCTGTATGGGCAGTGTTTTTACAGAAACTTTGTCATTTATGAAACCATTTTCAAACCAAAACTAGTATTCTGTGCTGAAGTTAAATTTTTCGCCTCCAGTGATAGATTGATAAAAATTCGAATTTTGTCAATCATTTTTAAGGTTTCGGAAGAGACTTAAACCCAAAAAGTTTTAAGTGTGTATATTTGACTTTGGTTATAAAGCAAGAAATGCATAGAAAGTTCCGTTTGATTTATCTTGAGATCCCCTTAATTCTTATACCAGGGAGCTTCCACACAAGTGGCATTTCATGAGAGGTTCACTTTAATTGAAAAACATAAATTGTTAAAAAATGTCCTTCAGAAGATGCATCCTTGTGAAAATGGAAACATGTATTGGTTATTAATATCTCTTTAGTAAAGGAGAAAAGCTTTCTTAGAAATTTTGCATTTGACTTTCCTATTTCTACACTATACTGCTGGTAGTACTTATCTTAGACCAGCTTTAATACTACATACCTGGTATAGGTACAGGGTTGCTTTATATATTATCTTTGCTGGAATGTAAATTTGTTCAATAGATTTCTCTTTATGCAATGTCCTCCATCATTTAAATGTTCCTTATTAATGTTTTTCTTCATTGTGTTTGTTGTTGACAGGGTGAGAACCGCTTCATTGAATCCATTTGTCAGACAATATTCAAAATACCAGAGCTTTTACGGATTCTTAACAACAAGAAAATCACAGACAACTTGAAGCGTCCGTTCCTACGATTCTTCATCTGGGTGTACCTGAACACAGCTGGCGGTATGATAGAGAGTGGTGCTGGGGATCTCCCCCACGACACGTAAGTCTAGGCGTAAACTCTCCCCCACGACACGTAAGTCAAGGCTTGGGATCTCCCCCACGACACGTAAGTCTAGGCTGGGGATCTCCCCCACGACACGTAAGTCTAGGCTGGGGATCTCCCCCACGACACGTAAGTCTGGGCTGGGGATCTCCCCCACGACACGTAAGTCTGGGCTGGGGATCTCCCCCACGACACGTAAGTCTGGGCTGGGGATCTCCCCCACGACACGTAAGTCTAGGCTGGGGATCTCCCCCACGACACGTAAGTCTGGGCTGGGGATCTCCCCCACGACACGTAAGTCTAGGCTGGGGATCTCCCCCACGACACGTAAGTCTGGGCTGGGGATCTCCCCCACGACACGTAAGTCTAGGCTGGGGATCTCCCCCACGACACGTAAGTCTGGGCTGGGGATCTCCCCCACGACACGTAAGTCTAGGCTGGGGATCTCCCCCACGACACGTAAGTCTGGGCTGGGGATCTCCCCCACGACACGTAAGTCTAGGCTGGGGATCTCCGGCACGACACGTAAGTCTGGGCTGGGGATCTCCCCCACGACACGTAAGTCTAGGCTGGGGATCTCCCCCACGACACGTAAGTCTGGGCTGGGGATCTCCCCCAAGACACGTAAGTCTAGGCTGGGGATCTCCGGCCCCCACGACACGTAAGTCCGGGCTTGGGATCTCCCCCAAGACACGTAAGTCTAGGCTGGGGATCTCCGGCCCTCACGACACGTAAGTCTGGGCTGGGGATCTCCCCCACGACACGTAAGTCTAGGCTGGGGATCTCCGGCCCCCACGACACATAAGTCTAGGCTTAAACTCTTACTTAATTGAGGAAGAGAGTTTTCATTTTGTAGGGATTGTGAGACCATGCAATCACCAATGGAGACTAATTTCTATCTCAGTAATAGTTCAACTAATCTCAGTTTAGGACTGTTTTCAGTCCAGTGTAGATTGTTTTCCATTACAAAATATAGTAGAGACATTTTGTTAATTCATTGTGTATGAGGCATTATTGAGCAAGTGCTCTCTGGTTAATTAATGTATGAGGAGAAATGCTGAAATGGAGTCCTGAGGTAAGAATGATCCTCCTGAATCAAAATGTCAGCATTCTAGGTATACAGGTAGATATATCTAGGTATACAGGTAGATATATCTAGGTATACAGGTAAATATATCTAGGTATACAGGTAGATATATGAAAATTAGATATTAAATTAATAAATTAGGTTTAAATCACAGTTGAGAGGTTATTTAAGGGACTTTTAGAATTTAAAAGGTCAAGTTCAGATGTGATAGGTCAGGTGACCTTCATCTTGTGTTTTAGGGCAATGTGGGAGTACTTGAATGGTTTAAATGAAACCTTACGGGACACCACAGAATTCATCAAAACGGACCCTAACACCGTCAAACTTCTTCTCAAGAGACCGCCGGCCAAATGGTAAGTCCCAACACAATACACTTCCATGGTTAAGTTTCTGTCGCTGTTGTGTTTTATAAGATGTACAGTTCCGTATTAGCGTAATATTCATGTTAGATTGTGTAAACTTTATCCACGTTCTGTTTACTCCTATACCACTCCCATCACCCATAGTCTATACCTTCGCAGTATCAGGGTTAGCATTAGATTTATGCAAAGCAAGGACTGTCCTGATGAAATGATACAAAAAATGTATAATTTATATATGTATATATGCCCAAGTCATATATCACCCCTTTAAAAGTGGAGATACATGTATTTGAAATTTTGATTTGGACAATCTAAAACAAAAAGATAGCAAAATAAATGTGATACAATGCTCCCATTTATACTGCTTTATATGACCTTTCATTACTTTGATTGCCAAACTAACACAAAACAGTCGTGTTTATTGTAAACTGTGACAAACGAGTGATAGGAACATCGCAAAGTTCTCCTACTTTATACAATACACTTTCACAAGTACTTAGTATTTCTTACGTCACAAAGGTAGATCTAGGTTTACACACAAACTTCACAGTTATCTCCCCTTCTGATCACTGATATCTTAGATTAGCTCACGCTGCTATAAAAAGATACTGAACTGCCAAATCAAAAATAAAATCCTTTCTTTCTCATAACTGAAACTTGTTTATCCACCAATGAATTATCAGATCCTTAATTTACAGGATTTCATTTTATTATTCTGAATTATTTCCCTTGGAGAATTTGGGTTAATATCCCAAACTTGTGGGTTTTAGGAAATCCCTCCTTAATTCCCATACATGTGACTGAAGGATATATATCCCTGTCATAACTTGGTATTCCGTCTTTGCGTATTGCAGAGTTATCTTCTCTTTGGAGCAGGTATTGATTGTTACGTCACTTGTTTGTGAGAGCAACGTCATCAATTTTTGAGAAAATGACGTAATTTTCTCGCACAAACCAATGAAGTAACAATCAATAGCTGCTCCCAAGAGAAGATTACTCTGCAATACGCAAAGACGAAATACCTACATGTATCACCAAATCTTCTCTCTAATATTCCATTGGTCATATCTGGTTGATCACCAACCTTGTAGAATTTGATACATTGTATATGAAATTAAAAAGTGCATAAATAGAATTTTAACAGATTAATAATTTAAGGAATCATTATCTTTAAAAAAAAACCACAATAATAATGATAAACCATAGTAACTTGTTGGAAGAAATTTTCAGAGAAAAATGCCCCTTCCTTTTCTCAATCAATGTTGTCAGTATGCATTTTTTTTTATTTTTTTATTTTGCACATTTTAGTTTGATGATGTTATTTTTCTTCCAGTGAAGGTGGAAGGTTTGTTTTTAGTTTCACTTTACTTTGTTTTCTTTCCTTCTTCCTTTCTTATTTCCATGGTGCTTAGATTTTGCTGTTATTTTAAAAAGATATATTTGGGTTATATCAATTTCATCAAAATCAGACTAAATTAAAGTTTTGATAATTTGTCTAAACCCAAGCAACCTTGGGAGTTTCACTATTTGGATGTTTTATTTCATTGGTTTACAATTCTGTAAATTATCCATTTGTTCATTATTTTGTTAATACTTCTGCTTTAATAAAAAACATATAAGTAAATACATCTAGTATCATGAATGATCAATTTAAAGGCTAACAACCTAACCAGTACAAATCACATGTGAAATTAAGTATATTTTCTACCCACCACCGTAAACTTTAATTCCTGGGTCAGGTTTAGGCAAACACCTATTAATGCTGGCTATAATAATAGATTCAATTTTTCAAAATGTTTCATTGTGTTTTATATCAATTTAAGCCTGTGGAAATGATGTGTGTGATTTAAAAAATTGTGTAGAGCGTTTTGTTTTGTTACAATTTAATGTTTGTTACTATTGTCATGGAAATGTTGTTTTATTAGTTGTGGCATTTCTTTGCACTTCAGTTGATATAAAATATATGCATTATATTAATATATTAATTAGGATAATTACAGTTTCTGTTAATGGTTTATCTGCTTTCTTCGTTATTTTGTCTTTCATAAATTATACAATTGTTGTTATTATTTTGTGATTGACTTACAAATTACAATAAATGTAAATGATTTTATCTACTTCTACAGTACTGTACTAAAATTTCTCATTATATTTGACCTAATTTATGACCTGGCAGTTTTGAAAAATCTATTTGATTTAAAGAACCCTCTATATAAAAGTCTTTTAAACAATGTTGAAAGTCAAAAGTAAGTCTTGGCTAAATGACCGGATGGAACGGTTGGACCAGAAAAAAGGGTATGGGGCATTTATTAGGCCAAAATACAGTACTGCAACTGAAAGAATGTATTAAAATGTTAATGTTCAAGGTTTTACTCGTGAAGTGAGATATATAGTTACATACATGCTAACTAAGTCACTTATGTATTGTATCTATTATATAATAGATAGTGTTATTGTATTGTATCTATTACATAATAGATAGTGTTATTGTATTGTATCTATTACATAATAGATAGTGTTATTGTATTGTATCTATTACATAATAGATAGTGTTATTGTATTGTATCTATTATAGAATAGATAGTGTTATTGTATTGTATCTATTACATAATAGATAGTGTTATTGTATTGTATCTATTACATAATAGATAGTGTTATTGTATTGTATCTATTACATAATAGATAGTGTTATTGTATTGTATCTATTACATAATAGATAGTGTTATTGTATTGTATCTATTATAGAATAGATAGTGTTATTGTATTGTATCTATTACATAATAGATAGTGTTATTGTATTGTATCTATTATAGAATAGATAGTGTTATTGTATTGTATCTATTATATATTAGATAGTGTTATTGTATTGTATCTATTACATAATAGATAGTGTTATTGTATTGTATCTATTATATATTAGATAGTGTTATTGTATTGTATCTATTATATATTAGATAGTGTTATTGTATTGTATCTATTATAGAATAGATAGTGTTATTGTATTGTATCTATTACATAATAGATAGTGTTATTGTATTGTATCTATTACATAATAGATAGTGTTATTGTATTGTATCTATTATATAATAGATGGTGTTATTGTATTGTATCAAGAAATGTTTAGTGACTTGCATGCAAGTATTAACATAATTAACATTAAACTGTACAGTTATATAATTATACACAGGGAATTCTAATATATATAGTTTAATATACTGTATAATATGTATAGTTTAATACACTAGATAGTGTTGTTGTATTGTATCTATTATATAATAGATAGTTTGATTGTATTGTATCTAGTATATAATAGATAGTGTTATTGTATTGTATCAATTATATAATAGATAGTGTTGTTGTATTGTATCTATTATATAATAGATAGGGTTATTGTATTGTATCTATTATATAATAGATGGTGTTATTGTATTGTATCAAGAAATGTTTAGTGACTTGCATGCAAGTATTAACATAATTAACATTAAAATCTATTATATAATAGATAGTGTTATTGTATCAATTATATAATAGATAGTGTTATTGTAGTGTATCTATTATATAATAGATAGTGTTATTGAATTGTATCTATTATATAATAGATAGTGTTGTTGGATGGTATCTATTATATAATAGATAGTGTTGTTGGATGGTATCTATTATATAATAGATAGTGTTATTGAATTGTATCTATTATATAATAGATAGTGTTAATGTATTGTATCTATTATATAATAGATAGTTTGATTGTATTGTATCTAGTATATAATAGATAGTGTTATTGTATTGTATCTATTACATAATAGATAGTGTTATTGTATTGTATCTATTATATAATATATAGTGTTATTGTATTGTATCTATTATATAATATATAGTGTTATTGTATTGTATCTATTATATAATAGATGGTGTTATTGTATTGTATCAAGAAATGTTTAGTGACTTGCATGCAAGTATTATCATAATTAACATTAAACTGTACAGTTATATAATTATACACAGGGAATTCTAATATATATAGTTTAATATACTGTATAATATGTATAGTTTAATACACTAGATAGTGTTGTTGTATTGTATCTATTATATAATAGATAGGGTTATTGTATTGTATCTATTATATAATAGATGGTGTTATTGTATTGTATCAAGAAATGTTTAGTGACTTGCATGCAACTATTAACATAATTAACATTAAACTGTACAGTTATATAATTATACACAGGGAATTCTAATATATATAGTTTAATATACTGTATAATATGTATAGTTTAATACACTAGATAGTGTTGTTGTATTGTATCTATTATATAATAGATAGTTTGATTGTATTGTATCTAGTATATAATAGATAGTGTTATTGTATTGTATCTATTATAGAATAGATAGTGTTATTGTATTGTATCTATTATAGAATAGATAGTGTTATTGTATTGTATCTATTATAGAATAGATAGTGTTATTGTATTGTATCTATTACATAATAGATAGTGTTATTGTATTGTATCTATTACATAATAGATAGTGTTATTGTATTGTATCTATTACATAATAGATAGTGTTATTGTATTGTATCTATTATAGAATAGATAGTGTTATTGTATTGTATCTATTATATAATAGATGGTGTTATTGTATTGTATCAAGAAATGTTTAGTGACTTGCATGCAAGGATTAACATAATTAACATTAAACTGTACAGTTATATAATTATACACAGGGAATTCTAATATATATAGTTTAATATACTGTATAATATGTATAGTTTAATACACTAGATAGTGTTGTTGTATTGTATCTATTATATAATAGATAGTTTGATTGTATTGTATCTAGTATATAATAGATAGTGTTATTGTATTGTATCTATTATATAATAGATACTGTTATTGTATTGTATCTATTATATAATATATAGTGTTGTTGTATGTTATCTATTATATAATAGATAGTGTTGTTGTATTGTATCTATTATATAATAGATAGTTTGATTGTATTGTATCTAGTATATAATAGATAGTGTTATTGTATTGTATCTATTATAGAATAGATAGTGTTATTGTATTGTATCTATTATATAATAGATAGTGTTATTGTATTGTATCAAGAAATGTTTAGTGACTTGCATGCAAGTATTAACATAATTAACATTAAACTGTACAGTTATATAATTATACACAGTGTATTGTAATATATATAGTTTAATATACTGTATAATATGTATAGTTTAATACACTGTATAATATGTATAGTTTAATATACTGTATAATATGTATCAGGTTTTTCCTCTTGGTTTACGTCCTTAAATGACCTTAGCTGTTAATAGGGCATTAGACAAAATAAAACCAAACCAAACCTTTTAGATTATTAACTGCTAGAGTATCTTGTTAATGTACCTTATAGTAAGTTTGATTTTCAAGTTAAACCTTGTTTCCTTATACCAGGGTACTGGTGTTATGTTCAAATATATTATGTATCACCATCATCATGTTTGAAGTAGATAGCCCCAAGTTGCTGTACCGAGTCATTTTTGATTCCAGAAATATATAAACTAGCTATCAGTTTAGTAAATTTTAGATCAAATTTCTTGATTCTACAATTAAGGTTGTATATCTTACTGGTCAGTTTAGTTGATTGAAGGTCAGATTACTAGTTTCTGCAACTAAAGGTATTGTTGTGTCCTGCTTACTGGTCAGTTTCATCTATGGTCAAATACTATTGACAAAATATCTGTCGATTGTGGGTTGGTATGTTATTTTGATAAAGTCAGTTTGGAAGAAACTTTAATTAATTATATATCATTCCTGAGAAGTCACAATCCTAGCTCGTAATTTCCTAAACTGACTTAGTATTTGTACATGGGATTTGTAACATTCTAACTTACCTATTCCCGGCCCAGGGTTCCTCTCCACATACGCCTGCAGAGGTAACCGTATAATATACTGCATGAAATAAGTGAATATATTGGACTGCACTGGTAATGGAATGCTGTTGTTTCAGTGATTTTGAATAAGCATTTTGGTAAAAAATATCCAAATTAATTTTCAAAAGGAGTATGAATGTGCAAAAGAAAAGTCAAGCCTGTCTATTATACTCTAGGATGCTAGAAAGAAAAATGTGTAAAAATTATAGATTTTGGGTCTGACTTATATATAAGACTTCCTATATTAAGGCACATCAGAAAACCAGGATCGGCACTTGAGGTAATTACAGCCTCGTTATATATATGTAATAAGCCTCATACATATTAAAGACTTGTACCTGGTATATTGCTGCTAAATGTTAAGAAAGAAAGTCTGAAGGTGATTCTAATGTGGAAAAGAAAAAGCTATTATTTTGCATGATTTGTGGAGCAAATTCTTGCTTACAGTGACTTTGGGCTGATCTGATGTATTCAGCAGTTTGTCTGGTAGCTAAGTGACTTTGCACTTGACCAGTCAGTCATCCTAGATACTCCAGGGGTTATACTCACTTTCGCTCTCTGCTATTCTGGAATATGTCATAGCAAAATTGAAGGCACAAAGACATCTATCTAACTGCTCTCGGGTAAGAAAACCTGACCAATCGCCAGGCTGATACTTGTCCTTGGAAGATCACAAAGGAGCGACACCTGTCTTCATGACATATGCTATGACATATTCCTGGGATGCAGAGAGCGAACGTGAACGTAACCCCTGGCGTATCAAGGATATTGACCAGTAAGCAGTTGATTGTATGGCTGGCTTTTATTAAACAATGATCAGCTGATGTAGTAAGATATGGGTAGTGTAGTGATCTTATATCTTAATCTTTGCATGATTTAATTGGGCTTTAAACCTGCTTTTGGTTACATGTCAACTTTCTGTCAAAAGTGTGCCAAGATCCCAATAGATGGCTGATTTTAATACATTGATCTCTCCCATTTGTACCATAGGTGTATACATATCCTTACCATGGAACATTGTGCGAACATTTGAACCTGCTTCTGTCTCTACTTCTGTACAGTGTAACCTTGTATAATTCATTCTTTGTTTTAATGTCAGTCACTCGTGAAACAAAAAGATCAGAGCTATGCCTGTTATATTCCCCGGAATACAAAATAGATAAGGTGATAATATTTGCCAAACGGATCAGTGCCTGTTATATTCCTTCACCATTGCTTATCCTTGAACAGAGAATCGCTACATGTTGTATAATTTATTCAATATCCCTCCCTGTTGATGGAAAAAGGACTAGAGTGTGACAACAAATGATTGAAAGTTGTGTGTTGAACTTAGTACACATGTATATTTATCTGCTGCATGGGTTCAAAGCTTTCATCCCTTTAAACATTAGTTCTGATATCGATGCTAGATGGTACGGTGCATGCAGTATTTCAGTAAAATTATAACAATATCAAATATCGCAAATGTGATTTCACATCTATAATGATTCTCTACATAAGTGCAGCAACTCTGGCTAAAGTCACTGTAATTTTATCATCATGATAGATTTATGTATATTTACACAATATCTGAATATAGTATTGAATTTCATAAAACATTAAATTAAATGACTTATCAATTAAAGATAACACTCGTAAGTATATAGGACACCTCTAATGAGGTTCCTACAGTAAATAATAATTGTTTTATTGCAGATTGATACATGTTTAACTAAATTTGTTATTTTTATAGAACTGTCCTTTGATGTTTCCTTGGCCAGTATTAATGTACCTCTCTATCTTGCAGTGATAAGGGTTCGAACAAACAGGAGTTGGTCCGAGGGACCCTTCATTATCTGTTTGATGGAGTGATGCCATTCCTGCAGGTAAATACGACCCTCAGTCATTGTCTGTTAAACATTGCCTTTGTTACTATAGGGCTGGTTAATACAGATGTTTAAAAATAAACCATGTTTCCAGGTAAAATGTGGAATTTTCAGAGATTTATTAATTTCTCAGCTCTAGATCTGCGGGGAGGTTCTCAGATTCTCGAATAGGACTCCATACTCTTGTTCTCATTTTTCAATGCACATAAACACCTCTGTTCGAAGAGTAAAGGAAACAGATGTTTGCTTTAAAAGGGACAGATTAATTGTATACAGACCACTAAAATGCAAAAATGAAAAAACATAGAGCTATCTTACTTCTCTCCCTACTCTTGGTTACTTCTGTTAACTCACTGTACCCAAATCGGGACACTTTTTAGATAAATATCAATGTTCTTCATACCATAATATCAATTCTAAAAATGTTTGTTCATTTATCATAATAGGTACTATCCACTTTTTAGGTCACCTGAGACAAAGTTTCAAGTGACCTATTGCGATCGCCTTTTGTCCGTCGTCGTCCGTCGTCCGTCGTGCGTCCGTAAACAATTTACATTTTCGACTTCTTCTCCAAAACCCCTGAACCAATTTCAATGAAATTTTGCAGGGACCTTCCATGGACAAAGGTCAACAAAA